TGCCGTCGCTCGACCTTCTCGAGGACCTCTTTGCCTCGGACGCGATCAAGCACGAGGACGAGGACATGGACGCGGCCGACTGGGCGGTGTGCGCCGACCTGCTGGACAGCTGCGATAGTGACATGGCGTGGCTGTCGACGCTCGAGCCGCTCGACTTTAGCGTTGTCGTCTGAAGCGCAACCAAAAAACACTTTTATTTATTTTTCGAACAATGGTTGTCCCGTGTGTCTTATGATGCCCAATGCTGATCTTCTCTTCTTCTCTTCTTCGCTTTTATTAGGCACGTTTGTTAGTTCCCCACAGTTTATGCGGTACTCGTCCAATGCTGTGGGTGGAAAGCGCGTAATCTGGTCTGCGTGGTCAATACTATCGGTGTGGGAGGGTGAATTTGATCGTCCTGGTTAAACTCATATTAACGTGTCGCGTTTATCGTTTAGCGTAACGTTGTGTTTGCGTTAAATCCATCCAGATGATGGAGCCGCCATGCAAGAGCGGATGGGTCCAACTTCAAGCAGCGACGGCCACCGACGTCTCGGTTCTCGGACGCAAGCGCCGGTGGGTGACGCTCGGCGTCGTGCGAGGCCACCCGATTCTGTACGTCTCGAAAGCGCCGACGTCGGCGCCGGTCGGTGGCCTCCGCCTCGAGGTCGTCACGCACTTGTCTGTTGCCCGCGACGTGTGCCAAATCGTTCTTGCTTCGCCGGGCGCCGAGCCAGTGACCGTGTCTTTGAGCACGCCGGCAGCCGCCGAATGGCTCGACGCGCTGCTCTATGTTCAGTCTTCCAGCAACGCGACACTCCAGAGCGACGCGTCGTACATGGCCGAGGAGGCCCGTCGCCTCCAGCAGCAGCTCATCGCCGCCGTCGCCGACCTCGATCGAGACGCAACGAAGTGGGACAAGTCGACAGTCCACGCCGGTGCCACCATCGACGTCTCGTTTCACTTGCCACCACACAAATCAGTGGCAGCTCGGGTGCGCGATACTCGCTCGCCTACGCCGACTCCGCACTTGTGTGTTAGATTCAAATGGGCGTCGACTTGGCACCCGACGCAGCCTACGCAGTTCTTAGCAACGCGCTGGACCTCTACGGACCCTTGGGCTACGTCTTTGGCCATTCCGGTACACAGTGCACCGCATTGAGCAGGACCCACATGATACATGTAGCCTGCACCTTGCATGAGAGCCGTACCGACAGCATTCTTGACGCCGCGTATCGTATTCGAGGCACCAAGCCCCGGCGTGCAGTGCTATTGCAGGCAAAATGCGCGCCCGTTATGGCCGTCGCATCGCTCAACTGGTCCGCCCGTCGTTGTTTCTAGCTCTTATCTGACGCGTTTTGCGTTTATATAGGGAAGAGGGTCTCTTGTGGGCCCACGATGCGACAGCTGCACTCGATACCTCCAGTGTACGACTCGTCATGTACCCCTCGGGGTTGGTGGTGCGGCCGGGCGCGACGCCGGAGTCGGCCATTGCCACGCTCTTCATTCACGTCGACGTCGGTGGTCTGGCGCAGTCGGTGCTCCGTACCGTAGCATGGACCACGCCGTCGACGATGCTGTGTTTGCTCGTCGACGACCTCTGCGCGGTGCTAAGGGCTTGAAACATAAAGCGAGAGTGCACCTCCGCATACAGCGGGCGGTCCGTAGTTGCGTGGTGGTCAAAGTTGACGCCATGATTTGAGAGAATGGTAATAATTCAATAGCGAGCGCTGCGTACACTAGAGGGACGGCGAGAGACCGGGAATGGTCTTGGCCTCCTTGACGCGGACGCGGACCGTCTCAAAACACCGATAGTCGCGCGCCTCGGTCGGGTCGCTCGGCGGCTTGTAGCATGGAATGTACGTTTCCAGCACCGAGAAGGTCGTCGTGACCGTGCCGGCTGCGAACGCACTGGCAAACTGCTTGGCGCAGTCGCCGCCAAACGCTGTCGAGGCAAAGGTCGAGGCCGAGCACCAGTACGGGATCCACGCCACGGTGCCACCGGGCACGAGGTCGACGCCGGTGACCGAGAGCACGAGCTCTTCGTCGAGCAGCGCGTACGTCGGGTCGACGGCAACGATCCGTGGCTGGGGGTGGCCATACTCGGCCACGAGCCGCGTCACCGTCGACGTCCGCAACACCACGATGAGCAGCGCCAGCACGCGCGTCGTCGTTGTGTAAAAGTACAAGAGGAGCACGCAGAGTCCCGCCAACCCAGCGAGTTGGAGCACGGGACCAGTGCAGTCCGGGTCCATCGACAGCGGCGGCTCGAGGCTCGGAAAAGCGTCGTGGTCGGCAGCCACGATCGTCGCGAGGATGTGTTGTGTCACGTCGAGAAACTGTTCGTGAAGTCGCACGCAGTGGGCGCACGCCACCACTTGGTCGCGCAGGACAGTGGCCGACGCCTGCGCGAGCTCGAGCGACGCCGGCAGGTTGCGAAGCGATGGCCATTCCTGCGTTAGGTGTACGTAGACGAGCAGCAGCAGCAGCGCGAGCGTCAAAAGGTTCAAAGCGCTCTTGCGCACAAAGCCAAACGGCGACGCGCAGTCCAGTGGCCACGACCTACGCGAACATGAGCACCGTCGAGACGGCAAAGGCGGCGTGCGAACCCTGGCCCGTAAAAGCGCTGGAACGGGCTGCAGAGAAGCAAGATGAGCGGCGACGCGGCAAGGCCGAGCACCGACCACAGCAGATGGGCGACAAAGCCAGGCGACGAGCGCGGGACGGTCCGGCGGCGCGGACGCCACTCGTCGTCGTCGTCGGCCTCGGCCTCGGCGGCGCGCACGTACGAGTCGAGCCACGAGCGCACCGTGGGCTTGCGCTTGAGGTTATCGAGGCGCTGCTCGATGAGCTCGTGGGACTCGACGTTGAAGCCCGGCCGGGCGAGCTTCTCCTGCAGCTCGTCGTCCAGGGGCGGGGCGGCCGCGCGGAAGACCATGCTGTTAATTGGTTTGGGACGCGATTGTAAAAAAGTCAACGGCAAAACAGAATTTTGGCCAATCACAGCGCGCGAACGCGGATAGGAGTTTGGGTCGACAACGTCGGATCATCCAATGACTCTAGCCATAACTTGACAATTAACGCCCAGCTTTTTAATGCTGCTGAGCGCCTCGTCGTGGGTCTGGATAATGGACAAGCGCGTTCTCGGAACGCGTCATCAAGGTCCTTCCACCAACATTTATTAATGGTCTTGGAGCTGCAGCAACAACCGGGGAGAATAAACCAACGAATAATGCGGCAACCAGCTCTACGATCGATAGTCCTTCGCGCAATTGCAGTGCCAACCAGATCCAACTCAGGTACGCCATCCGCGTCGCAGAGAGTCTGCGCTATTTATTGAGTGCACACGCCTGCAAAGTGGCGTTGATTGGTTTTCATGGCGCAAGATCATTGGAAATGGAGCTTTGGTTTATGGTTCCGAGGTTCTTGAGGCGGAAGATCGCACCCACGGCCTTGATTCCACAAGCTTTCTTGCTACCATTCAACATGGCCAACGACGCCGTCACGACACCGCCGACGCCCAAGCGCTGGTCGCAACGGATGCTCGCTGCCATTGCCGTCTGCGGTATTGTGTGTGCCGCCGTCGGCGCCTACTACGTCTTTGGCCCCAAGCCCGCCAAGCGCGCGAGCATGGCGTTCAACGGCCAGTTGTCGACGACGGTATATGTCGTGCCGCGCACCGGGTCGGGTGTGAACCTCAAGTTCGATGCGTTCTTGTCGCAGCCCGGTCCCGATGTCACCGCCAACTACATGTTGCTGGACGGCCGCGCGTACTGGTCGATCGAGAAGGACGCGGTGATCACGAGCGCCGGATGTTTGGAGGCTGATCAACTGCCTCCCGTGCAACTGGTTCGTCTCCCTCGTTTCTCGCTGCAAAAGTCTAATGATATCATTACTCTCTTAGATGCAAGCCAGTCTCACGGACGCCGTCGTCGTTTCCAGCGTCGACGACCAGAAGATCGAGTGTCCGTCGGGCAAGCTTCTCCAGCTCCAATTTACCGGCGAGACGTTTGTCTTTTGCAACTCCAACACCAACCACCAACCAGCTCACCAAAGCTGTTGGCACCGACGTCGACATGACGATCGAGTATCTTGCTGACTCGACGTCGCTTCCGGATTTCACGATTCCTCACGTCCCAATCAGTCGGCGCTGTCAAGTCCCGTCGTCACGAACGCCATCTTTCCCAACCTCCCACACTCTCCAAAGACGACGGTGTCGGCGCATGCTGCCTCGCTTGGCCCGACGACATGTCGCTGCAAGGGCCGTCGCAAACCATTTTGTGCACAGCGTCGGCAACAACGAGTTGTCGCCGCCGACGCGGACGTTTGCCGAGACGTGGGGTAGCATCCAGGACCATGCGCCGTGCTGTTTGAGCGTCGCGTTTGCCCACTACGAGTTCCGCGAGGGGGGTGAACGACCAAGACGAATTTTGTCACCACAGCGCGCCACGTCAGCGGGTTGCCAACGTCGACGATCGACAATCTCATTCTTGTTACTTACTCATGGGCAATTTCGTCGCTGGTGGCGCCGTCGCCAACAGAACGTGTACGTTTGGTACCGATGTCACGTGGGTTTCGCTGGCGGGTTCGATGCAAGGCAGTAACGCCTCCAACTTGCTCGAGCAAAAGTGTGCCGTGGGCGACTGGAGCCCGTCGCTCGCAGTCGTGGGCTACTGTCCCGCCACGGAGGCGTATTTGCAGCTGAAGGACCCAACCACCGTGAGCACCGACCTCTACAATGCCTTTCGAGCCGCACAGAGCGTGCGGCGCCGCGCCGACAAGGTTCTCTGCGGCATCAATGCATCGGGCCTCGGATCGGCCAACGCGACAGCGCTCGTCTACGTTGGATCGCAGGCATTTCGGATGGCATGCTTCATGACGGTGTTGTCGACTACAACTGCTGCAGCGTCGGCTTCACGCGCTTCGCAACGGACGCGATGGCCGGCACCAACTACAAGGCGAGTATCAACCGCTTTGACGCGTCGTTCCGCAACGGCGACGGCAGGTGGGGCGCCGACCGCAAGCCCGTCAAGTGGTTCGAGTGCGCATTGTAGCTGATTGCAACGTACCGGTAGCGGACTGCAACGCAGCCGAACGGTTGCTGGCGTTTTTAAACTCGAAATGAAGTCCTCAAATGCGTGCATACATCAGCTCTCGTGAAACGGCTGGCATCGAGGCATCGAGACATATGAAGAAAATGTACAGCTATACACAGCGAAGGACGACAACAATAGAGTCGGAAACTGCAAATCGATGTCAAGTCGTAATGATCGTAATGTTAGTTGTAGTTGTTGTACAGTTGCTGGATGGAGTCTATCGAACTCTACGTTTGGTCTTTCGTCTATACGTTCTTCGGCTTTACAAAAGCCCGCAGCCGTGGACGAGTTTTTAGGCTTATTGCTGTGGCAGGTGCCTCGGCGGCCCTAGCGTTGGAACTGGTACTGCTCATTGGAACCCCTTAGGGGAGTATCCTGGGCTCAGACAACGGTGTAAACCGTTCTCCAAAGGATGAGCTTGAACTGTACATTCAATGGAAAAAGACAAAACACAGTTGCATTCACTGTGAATGATACACGACAGACGCGACGCGGACATTTAGAGTGCGCACTCGAACCACTTGACGGGCTTGCGGTCGGCGCCCCACCAGCCGTCGCCGTTGCGGAAGCTCGAGTCGAGGTGGTTGATGCTCGCCTTGTAGTTGGCACCGGCCTCGGCGTCGTCCGCAAAGTTGCCAAACCCGACGCTGCAGCTCGGGAAGGCGACGACGCCGTCGTGAAGCGTGCCGTCGTTGTTCCAGGCCATTTGGCCCACGAGCGAGAGCGCGACAGCGTCCGTCGAGACAAGACCGGACGACTTGACGCCGCACAAGACCTTGCTGACGCCCTTGCTGCGCGTGTTTTGCGCCGCGAGAAAGCTGTTGTAAAGGCCGCTGTTGACCGTGTCTTGCGTCTTCATGTTGAGGTACGCGGGGGTCGCCGGGCAGTAACCAATGAGACCCAGAATGCCTTGCAGCGCCGCGCCCCAACCGCCCGACGCGCACTTCTCTTCAAGGAGGTTGGCCGCCTTGCTGCCCTGCATCGGACCCGCGATCGAGACCCACGTGACACCGGAGCCAAAGTTGCAGACACCGGACGCCACGGCACCGGACGCGACGAGGTTGCCCATTGAGAAGGTCACCAAGATCATGTTGTCGACGGTCTTGCCACCCGAGGTGCCGACCTTGAGCGCCGTGTTGCAAAACTCCGACTGCGTCGACGGGTCCGTCCACGCCCGCTTCACCGACTCGTAGTGCGCAAACTGGACGCTCGAGCAGCA